TAATCTTTCCGCTGTAGTTAAATATTAATAACGAAATCTCGAATACGGCAATGTGCACGACGCTGCTCAGGGACATACCGGGTACTATTCGTTATATGTATACTTTTGCAGCCAAGTAGACTGCGTCGACGAGGACTCGCCAGTTTTCCTTCCGCGCTCTCCAGTCCTAGATCTACGGATTAAAACTGGATGGCGGGGGCGGTGGTGGACGGTGCGAAATGGGCAGGAAACTGAGGAGACGAAGGAGGTAGCGGAGAAGTGGGTACGAAAGGGTAAGAGAGAAGAGAGCAGTTATAACGACGCCTTCGTGTATCATAAGTTAGGATATCCGCGCTGGACTCTGGAAATGTGTTAGTCACGTTTGCATGCGCGGGTGTGCGGCCACGTTTAATGGCAGCACGCCTGTCCCGGCGTGAATGTGTATATTAGATGGTGGGTATATCGGCAAAGGGCAACTGAGGAGAGCGAGGCGACCGTGCAGCTTACTTAACCACCATTTAAACCTGAAAGCGAGCTTTGGTTCTCCGCTGAGATCAAGCTGTGACACTAACGGCCTAACGCTGTACTGAAATACCCAAAACGCGCGATCATAAGCGGTGATCCTAAGAGCAACATGCATGAATTGCTTCTTTGAGTAACCAATATGCGTTGTATTCCTACTTAAATATTCTTTTGATTTGTTATTAATTCTTTTTCCATAAAGAAAAAAATTTATCAATTTTTTGACGCAGTCATGTGTCAATTTTCCAATTGACATATCATTGAAAGTCTAGAAGAATTTAGTATTAATCTTTACGTGTAACTTTTGCATATATATATATGTATATAATGTTTCTCTTTTATTTTTTGCATCTTTTCATTTTATATTTATACATTGATTCATAGAAATTGACATATTAATAATGCTAATTATATAATCGTACAGTGATTTATATGTAAAATGTATAAACGTGTTAAAACATCACTCAGTGTATATAACTTAAAGCTATTTTGTCTTTGATGCCGGTGGTTACTTCGAATCTGCAAGAGCAATCAAAGTACAAGTACAATGTGCTCGTATGCAAATGTGGACATAGGTTGAAGCAAGTTGTCGCACTCACGTGAATGGACTATTCCAGAAATCCCTTTCCTATTGTAGTCATTGTAGTCGCGCATTGTAGTACCTATCCCTAAGTTTCGATAGGTACTCTTATAGAGAACAATGATTATCCTTTATCGCATTGTAATATAATATCTGTTAACGCGAATGTGAAACGTCAAACGATTAAATGAATAAGGGAGTTAAAGTCATCATCATTAAACACATTTTAATATGTCTTTCTATTTTCGTTTCACTTTGCACTATCAGTAATTGTGACATTGATTAAAGCCTCGATTTATGTTTCGATGCTGCATTGTTTGCGAATTATGACCGATAATTAATTTACGTGGTTAAAATTTCAAGTTGCATTGTTAAAATTTCTAATTGATAGAGGGCGAATCAGCAATTTGTAATTAAATTCCATTGTTAAATATAATTATGCTTTGTATATTTAATACAGGAAAGAATATTTCGCAGGTATATTTAAACGTTCTCTGAAAATTGTATATCCCAATTTGAGTTTTTCCAGTTTAAGCCATCTTTTTTATGAATTTTTTCTTCTTTTAAGAATATATTTTTTATTGTTTTAACACATTTCAACTAATAATATGATTTCAACTAATAATATTTTAATTTTAGAAATATATCAACAAATATACAATTTATTTCAAGTAATGATAGTAATCAAAATTAATTATTTATAAAAATCTTTATGTGAGCTGCTAACTAATTTAAGTTTATGCACTGTAAAATATAAAATATCAAATACTTTTTCAGAACATGTATAAAGATTAAATTATATTATTTTTTTGATGTAAAAATTTGCTATAATTAAAAAATCGATACAGTATTTTCTGAGAAAAATATAATATTCTCACGTTGCCATGATATGCAAGAACATAAAGAAAACGATCGCATATTTCTCGATGACATTTCGCAATGATGGGTCACCCGCGTGTATAAAATATATATATATATATATATATCGTGTATACATATTATATACATATATCTATATATATAAAACTAAAATTTATGGTGCAATATTCATAAAGGTTTGCCCGAAAAGCAGAAGCGCTAAACCGCGTTTCACGCTTGGCAAGCGATATTCGCCAGCATGGCGTTATTCATATTTGAAGGAAATACGCTGACCGGCATGTATAAGAATCGTGAAATTGCTTAGCATGGAATATCGATATAAATTTGTGATAACTCGCAGTTCTAAGCTGCATTTATTATTGTAGGAAGTCAAAAGACGGCTGTATCAAAAGATAAATTCGAAACAGATTTTCCTTCCGTTATCCCTGATATAACTGGCTATACGTACGCAACAGTTTCTCGTAGTATTATATCAAAGGATCGAGATTGATATATGTATCACAAGGATAAAGATATAATTAATCACGAATGTTTATCGCGTAAGGAACGAAGCATGGTAGATCTTTCCGGGATAAACCATTTGAGGCAAGGAAGAGCGTACCAGGGATCGGGGAAAGGAGCGTTGAACGGAGCACAGAAGATTCGAGGCGTGAGGAGCATTGGTAGAGGAGAGAAAAAGGAAGGGACTGGGGGGGAAAAACAAAATAAAAGAGGAAAACCGCTGGCAATTTTTCACTAGCTTTTTAAAGCGCGGCTTAGGTACTCGTGGAGCGAGTTTGAATCGATTTTTCCAGAGGGGAGGGAGAGGGCCCATTTTTCTGCCGTCTTCTTGTGCCAAACGGCGCAAACTGTACCTACCTCCAGCTGTTTCGCTGCCGAACATGGTTGTCGCTCGAAGGCCGAGTTTAGATTGGAATCTGAAATTTCGATACCTCGCTCGGCGATTCCCCTTTTTTTTTTCTCCTAGCCGAGCAAATATTCGCAAAGTTTCGTGAACGCAAAAGTGATGCATCTGCATGAGCCAAGAATAAATCGGGATGCGAAATCCGAATGGAGATTTCTTGCCGCGCAAGAGAAACGGATACGAAGATCTATGCGTACAGCTTCTTCAGAAGAAGCGATTCTATCTTTACGACTTTTACGGATTGAGATTCTTAATTCGCATGAAAGATGATAAAGCGCGAGATGATAAGTCATTATTATAGCATAAATATTCGTCTGGAGGGGCAAGTGCAAAATCAACGTTCCGACAAAGTGGTATAACGCCAAGTGGTTGCGACTACATTTATTTCGTCCACTTCTTTTACGATGTATCGTGGCGCGAAATCGCGATACTGTCCCTGACTTTCGTCACGTAAAATCACAGGGCGTAACGTACTGGTTTGCAGATACAATCGATGTAGAGCGCGGGCTTACTGACACTTCGCATGCTCGCGAAATGCAAGCTCAATATGTTCCTTTTGTTTTGCTCACGTAATTTCCTTGCGAAATCGAAGTTCTGCTGCTGATTATGCCTATTCTTAGACTACCACAAATCCTTGGTGTATGTACATGATAATTTACCTTTACAAGTGAAGGTAATTTTCATTACCTGAATATCCGAGAGCATAGTCACGTTAAAATTCTGCCTACAAATACTTTCAGTTGTGTCTATTAAAGAGTGTAAAATTATTTAAGAAATTTTAAAACACAATTCAAAAATTGTGACGTTTCAATTTTTCATGTTCAATTATTATCTCATATTGCTGACACCATTATAAAAAGGAAAGATAAGAGGGAAGGAGATATTTGCCTATCTATCCATTATTAATCAATTGCGCTAAACTAATGGAGAATATATTATGTTCTTTAAATGCTCCCTGTAGAAATGTGCCAAATTAGCTCTTCCGCTTCCGGTTTCCTGCTGCATAAATGCACACGGCTCAGCGTTACTGGTTTACCGATACAATCGATCAAGACTGCGGAGATTGACGCGACTTCACCTCCAGCTTGCAGCTCAAGCCCCGACTTCGAAGGGTATCGGTGCTTGCGATATTATCGTCATGCATCTATCGACCGGCGAGTTTAACGGAGCGCAAGGTCGCAGGACTCGTGGTAGCTGCCGCGCGATCGCAGAGATATGCGTTATTATTGTTCGCGTCGGTGCATCGTGAAACGTCGGACGATGATGGAAACTCGTAAAACAGCTCAGTTAGGACGAGAGGGCGAGGTCGTTAAAAGTGTAATAAACTTGCGAAGCCGGTTGATAAAACGAAATATTCCGGATTTCCTTCTATTGCAACTTCTAGGGATTTGATTATGTCTATTTATTGTCGACACTGACGTTTTCCAGCGCGGTGGCTTTTCTTCAGCAAAGCCGTGGGTTAGTACTACGTTTTTATAAATTGCATTTCCGGAAGCGCTAAGATTGTAAATGATATTTTTGCGACTTCGCAATAGAACTCGCGATTCGTGAGGATCTTCTGCATAAGTATATAATACTTTTTGCATTTACAACGTATATATAGTATATATTTATTGATAGAATAAAGAAAGTTATTTTAACATATGAGATATTTGAACGACTTAAATATCTTGCAAAGCGTAGACGATTTACAGTATTTTTAACAGATATTTTTATAGCACATAAAAAAGAAAAAAATATACAAAGAAAATATCAAGTACTTCTTGGTTAAGAATTTAATATTTAAAAGTGTTGTTTTTTTTCTTCTTCTTATTACTGTTTCTCTTTACGCACAAATACTTTTTCTTAAGTATTTCTTTTAAATGTTTCAGTGTGTTATGAAAATTTGATTAAGCAATTAATTATGCATTTTCATTGATTAGCTTGCGAACGAAAGAAAGGAGTAACATGTAAACTTGTAATACTTATAACACGTAAACTCATCGATCTTTATAAATCCAAGATTAGATTATTTTGCATCTTTGGGAGGTCGTTAGTGATATTATGTTATCGTTTTATGGTGACGTTATATTATCGCTCATATAACTCTAGTAAAACGGTAAGTCGTCTTTAATGAGCAAGATTAAGAGGACTTACGAGATCTCTCCGAAGGCTGAGAACGCTTCCCTTAAGGTATGTGTCTCGATCTCCGGGCTCAGGTCCCCAACAAATATGTGATAATGTTCTGAAACAAAAAAGGCGATGATTAGACTCATTTTAGAAAAAAAACTAATACAATATATTTTCATTGCTGAGGAAATTGCGATTGAAAATAAAATAATGATTATATTCAAACATTATTAATTTCGTAATGAATTTACCGTGAGCTTTAATGGACGTGAAACAAAATATGAAACATTCATTTCTTTATACTCCAAAGCACATATCTCTGTGATTAAGTTTCGCTATCAATAGTCCAAAAAATGTAGATAAAAATTCAGTAACTTGATAGAGAAATAATTAATGTGCTTCTGTGACGTTTATTTGAAAAAATTATTGCATTTATCTCTACACGAGAGCAAATGACAGAACCATTCAGAAGATTATGGCGCGATTTTAACGAAATTGATTTATTAAATTTTATCAAGTTTAATGCAACGTAATATTATCCATTTGATAAAATTGTCTTCCTAGCGTGAGATATTATCACTCTGCAAGATTTACATTTATAATGGCGATAGAATAAATAATACATTTAGCTGTTTTGAGAATAGCTCTTCATTAAATTGCAGTTAATTAACACTTTCCTTCGTTAATAACGTGATGATACCGTCTAAAATATTTGGCATACTATTAAGGAAAATTAAACATCGCAGAAAATTACTCTCAGTGCGAGAATTGCTATTCAGGCAATCGAAGGTCTTTCATAATACATAAGATGCAGCCTCTAAGGTAGACACTTCAAAATAACTCGTCGGAGAACAGGGATTGAAGATGGATTCGTAATTAAATAATTTCCTGCATGAATACAAACTGATTAGCGGTGATAAATAAATACTAATTGTAGCTGTTTTTGAACAAACGCTACAGATCGTGGAACACGTGAAACAGAGGGGATAACTATTAATAAGTAATTATTAATCACAACCATTTTGCACGATCAACGATATATTGCAATCCGAAGAACAGAATTCGCGAATTTGTGGAAATATAACGATTAATTATAAATAATTACATGGTTTTTATGCATAAAAGCATAGTAATAACACGGAGAAATACCGTTATTCATTGAAGAAGGAAAATGAGAATTTGTAATAATAGCTGATTACGGAATAATGTTATGTTAAATAATATTACGCAAATATTTATTATTTTCGAAGTGTTGCATCGAATTTTCAAGCCAGTATACCGTATAACGACATGATGTACGCTAATATTATGCCATAAGATTGGATTATAAGTACTCTGATACAGAGATGCATTTGTATTAAACGTATTTACATTTTTCGCTAACCGAAGCAATTGATAATGTGATCGTTTTGGCGATAGTTATAATAATTTTAATGTGTAAAATGACGACATCGAATAGCAATAAATAATATTTGCGCTATTTAATGAAAGGCAATGGTAAACTTATCCTATTATAATGCTAATTTATTTTTATATTCTCTAAATACGCATCTGTCATTCTTGAGAAAGCTACTTTGTTTGTTCCACTTAATTGTGCCGCTTTGTTGCGTGCTCTAAGACATGTTTTATTTATTCTAAATACGCTAATACGACCACGTTATCGAATGAAGCGCCAGTAATCGCCGTTAATCACACACATGCCGTTTTTTTTCTCCCGCGAAAATCTGTGCGATTCCACGGTTAGAGCCGGTCGGATGAGTGCAACGAAACGGTGTGCGAAGTAAGCTTTTGGGGGGATAAATTATCGATTCGCATACGGTCGTGCGGTCGAGTGCACGTCGTGGCGTTGCGGTACAGCCTCGCATCGGCTCGATAAAATATGCTCCTCTTCTCTGGTCCCTCTCTCGTTTTACCTTTCTCCCATCCACATCCTCTCGCCGACTCGATACGGTTTCATTCACGCTGATATGTAGGAATAGATCAAGACGAGTAGTCGAAAATCGAGTTACCGCCGGAAGGTCTCTACCAGGGACATCAGTTACTCCGAACGAGGTATGTTGGAAAGTATAGAAGGGTAAAATAGAAGTGGAGCGTCCGTAGAGACGGAGGGTGGTCTGATTACAATCGGTTTGATAGCCTATCCTTGCCGGTTGGAGGTTCCGGTGGGCACACATAGTGGTCCATTCTCGTGAATTAGTCGGATCCTCATCATCTTCCTTTCCGACCAACTTAACCGACACCGTCGCCATCGTGCCAGGATCTTGGTGCTATTAGGATATCAACAGGAAATTGATGAAAGTTTATTTCGTATAGGATGCCCGAGGATCCCTATACAATTGTCCAGTATCAACAACCAAGTTTCCTTTGATATCCTCTTGAAATTTAAGACCTTAGTTCTGAACGAAATCGAGAGTATTTTTTAATTTGATATAATAAAAATATTATGTTTTTGCTTTTTATTCCAAGTAATATATCAAGTATACGATAATTGCCTATGTTACGATACAAATCATTTGGAGTGTCGCAAGTATTTGTTTTTTGAAAATAGTGTAGTATATTCGTGCAAAATTCTGAATGTGTGTAAATTGTGACAAATATTTATAAATTCATGATTAAAATCCTTTTTACACGCAAATGATTTTAATGAATATTCCGATACTTGAGCGTCTTTTTCTGATCATAAGAAAGGTTTCTTTGCCATTGATAAATATTGTTAAGGCAGAGTTTCATGAAACGTCTTGCTTGACACAGTTCTTTTCATCCACGCTGCAGGTTTCTTAGTTGATTAAATTATCCATGCATTTTTCTTGTCTGCTGAATTTTTCAGCGAGCATCGCATTCATACAGCTCAAAAGGATTAAAAAGACTGAAATCTTTCCCGTGAATCAAGAAAGATCAAATATCACGTAATTTCACCAAAAGAGATCTTACACGAAAGCGGTTTTAGAATCGGTTTGCTTTCAGCGAAATTTCGCAAAATTCATCGAATTTGATATTATCTAGTAGTAAATAGTTGGCAAGATCCGATTTCGTACGGAGAGAAGGTTTGGTGAAATATGGCCCGGGTGAATGCAGAAAAGGCGCAGCATGAAAAAGATGCCAGCATTAAAGGATCTCCGATGATGACGTCACGCGTCATGGCTCGCCCACCGTCTGGTGGTTAAAACGTGGCCCACGGTTTTCAATAAAGTGGGACTAATGGAGCGCCATTTATTATTGCAGCTCTCTCTCCATCCCTCTCTCATCCCCCCGTCTCTCCCTCCCCCTCGTTCCCTTTCACATGCCTACCAGTCGACAGAATGATGCTTTCATTCGAAATGAGCGTTACCTCCATCATCGATGTTAGCGACAACGGGGTATAATTTCGGTGGTGGATATAAAACATCATTATTGTCACCGTCGTCGACACGATCGTGACGTATTATCATATTTAAATGTCGATGCATTATGAAATAAGGTTACTAAAATCGCGATAGAAGCTGCAGCGCCCGCGTGCCATGCGTGTACGTATGCACATTGCATGTTTACGACGTGTGTATGCAAGTTGCATACGGGAAAGTGTGCTGAGCTAATAATAAGGGAAGGCCGTTTAATTTTGCATGCAGCGTGTCGCTTGATTTTCTTTACGAAATGAATTTCTTGTTTAATACACGCATAACTGAGGAAAATCTTTCGTATATTTCAAATGCATAGTCTTTTTGAACATTATTTATTTAACATTTAAGAACGGGCAACATATTTTGTGATACATATTTATAACTTAAATATCTTACATTAAAAAAGACAATACGATCAAATGGAACATAAAACACGTCACATCAAAATCAGGTTTATTAGTATATTAAAGAGTTATTAATATAATAAATTGTATAAAAGTTTATGAAATTAAATTTTAAATCAAATCGTTCTTGAATTAAATCGCTAACAAGTTTGAATTATCTTATTGCGTTCTATTGATTAAATCTTTTTATGTATGCGTAAGACATATTCATATAAAACTTCATCCAAATTTAATCTCAATTGCAGCAACTAAATTGTGGAACACAATTCCCAATGTACGTACATGTACCTATATACATGCAGTCTTTGACAAAAAAAGTTTGACGCACATATATACATGTACGGTATAACTTTTTTTGTTAGAGTGCGTGTACATAGGGAATTATGTTCACAATTTGGTTACTATATAGCATTTGTAGTATTTATATACTGGAGATTAACTTAGTATTATATATATATATATATATATATATATATATATACATAACAATAATTGTTACCAATATTAGTTACACAATTTATAACTGAAAAAACAAATACAAAATTTTATTTCAAAATAACATATAACATCGATTGTTATTTATAATGACATTTATAATTACGAATCCACGGTATTTGAAACAGAGATAATATGATTTTCCATAAAACGTCATTCTTTATGTAATACTCAATTTAAACTTATTCACAAGATTGTAGCATGTCTTTTGCGTGACAATTTCACACGGGTCGGGGACATGAATAGATCCCTCGACAGTTTCGGAGGTAAAAGATGGAGAGAAAATAGGAAAGAAACGAATACGAGCGCGGGACCGAGGCACGGTAGTGAGATCCATTGAAGCGGGACAATGCGGGGGTGGACATACAAAAGTCCAGGCCACGCCATAGATCAGGAATCGAGCGTGGATGGCCCGTAGATCAAGGGTTTCCTTAATTTCGTGGGACAACGGTGAAATGTTGATTTACCGTACCTCGAAACGGGCCGGCACGACTTGCACGCACCCCCGTGCGCGAGAGAAAATATGCCCTGCGGCCGAGGATGGCGCCTGTGCCGCCAATAGAAACCTCTATTAATTCTCCATGCGGCGAAAACCTAGCGAAGTGAACACAATCGAATTTCGGTTTGGATGACCGCTCCCAAAACTGGCGGTATTTTCGGGTGCACGTGCTGCTCGTAAGATTTGAACTCGGTTTAGTACTAGAAAATATGAGTCAGCTGATGCGAGCCAGCTGATGCGAACACGGCCGCGCCCGTCCGGCGTACATTATCCTGCGCTCGGTTGCATTTAATTGTTTTGACTGATGAATATACATACACATATAATACACATATGTACA